GGGGGACGGTCTCCCTTCCCTCAGCCCTCCAGCCCCCTCTCCGGAGTCAGGGTGCGGAGCCAGAGCGAATCGCTCTCCTCCAGCTCTTCCGCGGGACCCTTGTGCTTCCCGGATCAGCACACCCACTCCGCGCTGCCCCACCGCTGGTACGTCAGCGATTGTAGCGATGACTCCATTAGCGAGGGCTCTGCCTGCCTGGTTAGCGCGGGCCAGCCCCTCGCGGTGGCTCATACGCACAATCAGACTCGGTTACGCGATTCAGTTCGCGAAACGGCCCCCCAAGTTTACGGGCGTGTATTTCTCCAGGGTCAACCCCCTGTCCGCCCCTGTCTTGCGAGAGGAGATTGCTGCCCTCCTGGCGAAGGGTGCAATCGAGCCGGTTCCTCCAGCCGAGATGGAGAGTGGGTTTTACAGCCCATACTTCATCGTACCCAAAAAGAGCGGTGGGTCACGGCCAATCCTAGATCTGCGCGTTTTGAACCGCTGTCTGCACAAGCTGCCGTTCAGAATGCTCACGCAGAGGCGCCTTCTCCAATGCGTTCGTCCTCGGGATTGGTTTGCAGCCATAGACCTGAAGGACGCGTATTTCCATGTCTCCATTCTTCCACGCCACCGCCAATTTCTGCGGTTTGCGTTCGAGGGTCGAGCGTGGCAGTACAAGGTCCTCCCCTTCGGGCTCTCTCTGTCTCCGCGGGTCTTCACCAAACTCGCGGAGGGTGCCCTAGCGCCCCTTCGGCTCGCGGGCATTCGCATACTCGGTTATCTCGACGACTGGCTGATTTTAGCCCACTCGCGGGAGCAATTGATTATGCACAGGGACGAGGTGCTTCGGCATCTCCGCCTACTGGGGCTTCAGGTCAACCGAGAAAAGAGCAAACTCGCCCCCGTGCAGAGGATTTCTTTTCTCGGGATGGAGCTGGACTCGATCACCATGGTAGCGCACCTCTCCGAGGAACGCGCTCGCCTGTTGCTGAACTGTCTGAGGGAGCTCGACAGCAAACTAGTGGTCCCACTGAAGTTCTTTCAGAGGCTCCTGGGGCATATGGCATCCGCAGCCGCCGTCACGCCGCTCGGGTTGCTCCATATGAGACCACTTCAGCACTGGCTTCACGATCGGGTCCCCAGACGCGCATGGCACGCGGGCACACCGGGTCTCGGTTACTGCGCTGTGTCGCCGCGCCCTCAGCCCTTGGAATGACCCCTCGTTCCTACAGGCCGGTGTGCCTCTAGGACAGGCGTCCAGCCATGTTGTTGTTTCAACAGACGCTTCCAACACGGGTTGGGGGGCCGTGTGTCGCGGGCATGCGGATGCGGGCCTCTGGAAGGGTGCCCAGCTGCATTGGCATATCAATCGCCTAGAGCTGTTGGCAGTGTTCCTCGCTCTCCACCGCTTTTTACCGGTGCTGGAGCGGCAACACGTGCTGGTCAGGACGGACAGTACGGCGGCGGCGGCGTATATCAACCGCATGGGGGGTATGCGCTCTCGCCGCATGTCTCAGCTCGCCCGCCGTCTGCTCCTCTGGAGTCACCTGCGGCTGAAATCGCTGCGCGCCATTCACGTCCCAGGCACGCTCAATCGTGCAGCCGATGCGCTCTCACGACAGCTGTTACGCCCTGGAGAATGGAGACTCCACCCCGAGTCTGTTCAGCTGATATGGGCGCGATTCGGGGAGGCCCAGATCGATCTGTTTGCTTCCCCCGAGAACGCTCACTGCCAGTTGTTTTTTCCCTGACCGAGGGCTCTCTCGGCACGGATGCACTGGCCCACAGCTGGCCTCGGGGCATGCGCAAGTATGCGTTTCCCCCAGTGAGCCTGCTCGCGCAGTTTCTGTGCAAGGTCAGGGAGGACGAGGAACAGGTTCTGCTAGTTGCGCCCCTTTGGCCCAACCGGACCTGGATATCAGAGCTCTCACTCCTCGCGACGGCCCTCCCCTGGCGGATCCCTTTGAGAGAGGACCTACTCTCTCAGGGACAGGGCACCATCTGGCACCCTCGCTCCGATCTTTGGAACCTCCACGTGTGGTCCCTAGACGCGAGGAAGACTTAGGTAACCTACCGACTGCGGTGGTTAATACCATCACTCAGGCTAGAGCCCCCTCCACGAGGCGCGCCTACGCCCTGAAGTGGAGTCTATTCACTGAATGGTGCGTCTCTCGCAGAGAAGACCCCCGAAATTGCCAGATTAGTGTTGTGCTCTCTTTCCTTCAAGAGAAGTTGGACAGCAGGCTGTCGCCCTCCACTCTCAAGGTTTACGTGGCCGCCATCTCCGCTTATCATAGCGCGGTAGCTGGCGGCACCGTGGGAAAGCATAACCTGGTCATCCAGTTCCTTAGGGGTGCTAGGCGAATTAATCCATCTCGCCCCCCTCTCATGCCCTCTTGGGATCTCGCCCTCGTTCTCACGAGTCTGCGATCCGATCCCTTTGAGCCACTCGAATCAGTATCTCTAAGATTTCTGTCCCTGAAGACAGCTCTGCTGGTTGCGTTGGCCTCCATCAAGGGGGTCGGGGACCTGGAGGCATTTTCGGTCAGTGACTCGTGCCTGGAATTCGGGCCGGATTACTCTCACGTTATCCTGAGACCCCGCCCCGGTTATGTGCCCAAGGTTCCTACCACCCCCTTTAGAGATCAGGTAGTGAACCTGCAAGCGCTGCCCCCGGAGGAGGCAGACCCAGCCCTTTCTTTACTTTGTCCAGTTCGCGCTCTGCGCATTTATGTGGACCGTACTCAGAATTTTAGATCATCTGAGCAGCTCTTTGTCTGTTATGGCGGTCGGCAGCAGGGAAGTGCCGTATCGAAACAAAGATTATCCCACTGGATTGTGGATGCCATTTTACTCGCTTATTCGAGTCGAGGTCAGCCGTGTCCCCCGGGAGTACGTGCACACTCCACTCGGAGCGTTGCATCCTCTTGGGCGCGTGCACGCGGCGCCTCTCTAACAGACATCTGTAGAGCTGCGGGCTGGGCGACACCCAACACATTTGCAAGGTTTTACAATCTGCGAGTGGAGCCGGTTTCCTCAAGGGTATTAGGTAACCCTTTGGTGATTGAGGAGACAACTCGGTAGGGTGTTGAAACACGCTTGCGGCGCCATTCTCCCTAAACACGGAGGTACGTGCGCCTTTTTTATCTGTCAGTAAAGTTCCCCGTCAGGTGAGCCCTGCAGATTCCTCCGTGGCCCCCAGCACTGACTCAGCGGAGGAGTCACTTGCTGGCCCACTACGTTGTAGGTCTGCCCGCTGGTCAGCCCGCGTTTTGGGTATAGGTGCCTGCTATGCGTGATCCCCACTAGGCGATCCCATATGCTTATTCCGCCACGGTTAAGTCCCCCCCCCTGGGCGGACCCGTGTCTTCCCTCTCCGCTAACCACTCTTTTGCTATGCGTACTCCCCCTTTTTAGGGCTAGTCCATAGGTAAATTCTGCCATCTATCCCCCCCTTGGGTAACGGATGGCCTCCGCAGCGTCCTCCCTATCGGGATTGCACGCTTCCCAACGTACTGTCGTATTTCCTAGAATTATCTAGATGCTCACGACTTCCCAAAAAATATATCTAAATCCGTAAAACTTCTGTTGAAGTAGGATAAATTAGGGCCAGGGACACGTTGGAGGACCGCGCCCCCCATGATGTGGGTGCGTCACGCTTGCTTGACTATCTCCTCATCGGGGGTGTTGGTAAGGTGCAGTCATTGTGGCGCTTTCCATATTCTCCCATTCATGGCACTGAAGTTCCCCAACCGAAGGGGAACGTTCGAGGTTACAGAAGTAACCCTTCTTCCTCGGGGAACGGAAGTGCCATATTCCGTCGCCATAATGACTGTCCCTTAGCTGTTTGAAAGTCTCTTCAGCTTAAAAGGATGGCGTCTGCTGGCTTCAGGTGTGCTTATATGCTGAGATAATTGCAGATGTCGCACACCTGCGCAAGCTTACGCTGCCAATTAATTTCATTCATTGGCCCGTTCAATACTCTCCAGATAAGCGGCTTCTGATCCGAATCCTCCCATTCATGGCACTTCCGTTCCCCTCCTCGGGGAACGAAGGGTTACTTCTGTAACCTCGAACGTTTTTTATTATTAATAATTCAGGATGGGCTAATAATTCCAACTTCAACTGTATATACTGTTCAACTGTACAACAGTTGAAGTCAGAATTATTAGCCCCCTTGAATTAACAGACCCCTTGTTTATTTTTTCCCCATTTTCTGTTTAACAGAAAGAAGATTTTTTTTTCAACACATTTCTGATCATAATAGTTTTATTAACTCATTTCTAATAACTGATTTATTTGATCTTTGCCATAATGACAGTAAATAATATTTGACTAAATATTTTTCAAGACACATCTATACAGCTTAAAGTGACATTTAAAGGCTTAACTATGTTATTTAGGTTAACTAGGCAGGTTAGGGTAATTAGGCAAGTTATTGTATAACGATGGTTTGTTTTGTAGACTATCGGGAAAAAAATTTAGCTTAAAGGGGCTAATAATTTTGTCCTTAAAATGGTGTTTAAAAAATAAATAACTGCTTTTATTCTAAATAAAACAAATAAGACTTTTTTCAGAAGAAAAAATGTTATCAGACATACTGTGAAAATCCCTGTTAAACATCATTTGAGAAATATTAAAAACAATTAAAAAAATTCAAAGGGGGGCTAATAATTCTGACTTCAACTGTATGTATATATATATATATATTCAACTGTCATTATAATTTTTTTTCTCTCAATGCTGAATTAATAATGATTGCTGAGTAATCATTCTGAGAATAGCCATGTAAATTAAGGCTTTTTAATATTTTTTCCCCTTTTTCGAGTGCATTGGACTTACTATTGCTGTTTATTCTGATGTATCCCTTTCACCAACACATTACATAAGCTACCCCTGAGCAATGTTTGTTTGATTTTGAACCAAAGAAATTCCAATAAATAATCAATTTTGCCGTCGAATCAAAAAAAAAAAGAAAACATTTTGAAAGGTAAAGAATACAGTTTGAAATGAAAATATACAAATACACAACAATCTTTATTATAAAAGTCCAAATAAATAATAGCAAACACACAGGGAAAAAAATACAAAATAACATAACAAAAAGCACTCTGTAGAAAATAGGAACATATTTACAAGACTGGCATTCGGAACTAGTTTAAATTAAAATAAAATTGGTCAAAAGCATTGGACCCACAAATATTTTGTCATTGGTAAGCATAAAGCACACACAAAATCAGAATGCAAAAATAAAGGAATCAAACTATGAAAATATGAATCAGCCTTCCTGACTGCCTTAAGTTTCAGCAGGGGGATCTGAAATTCATTCTTATTTCCACAGAGATAAGAAACATTTGGAAATATAATCAAATGGACCTCGAGATTTGTCTGGAAATTAAGCCCTCCAAGGCTTGTCTAACTTGCAAAAGCTTTGTCTAATGTTGCTGTTGTGGTCAGTGAAAGCTGGTCTGAAGGTAACGGTGAGTCGGCCTTCTGATTTATTTGCTTATGTCCACTGAATAGGCCACTGGAGTCGCCTCTGTTCCCGTTATGCTGTCCACTATAGACGTCAGAGACCTCAGGTTGGATTGCTCTGACGAGTCGTCGTTCAGCAGATCTGAGAAAAGTAGACCACAATGTCACTTTATTGTCAGGCAAGTCTTTTTTTAAAGCAGACTAGTTTGTTATCAATAGAAAGGTCAAACACATTGGACCGAAGGGTAAGTCTTTTAAAAGCTGAAGTAAACAAAGCCTTGAGGGTGTGGTTTAAAGGGTAAGTGGGCATGGGCATTTTAGTTTTTGTCTTTATTTTAGCCTCTGTAGTTATTTAGAAATGGCTGCCATTTGTTTTATTAATTTGTTTAATAATACTTGTATGCTAATATTTTAATATGTTAATATGTTAATTATTTATCACTAATTTATTATTATTGAAATAGAATGAAAATTTAAAATGAAAATATAGAAATACGCAACAATCATTACAATAATAGTCATAATGATTTATTCTAAATGCACCAAAAATATACAAAATAATGTAACAAAACCATTCTGTTAAAAAAGGAGCATGACAGACATTCAGAACTATTTTACACTATTAAAATAAAATGGTTATAAAAAAAAGTCAAAAACATTAGACTGAATGGCAAAAATTGATAATCAAGGCCCTATGTGGTTCAAAGGATGAGTAAGCGTGGTTTAAATGTGGAGTGAGTGTGGTCTTACCCTCGTGGGCGGAGCTATAGGCGGGGACACAGTGATCAGACGCGCTGCTCCATTCTGGACTGCTGCAGCAGGTGCTGCCAGAGCCCTGATCACTAGAGGACGACACCTGTCACACACACACACACTGCTGTCAGTCACCAAACCCCACCACAAGGACCCCCAGCACCCTTACACACATCACAAACCAGCAGCACACGCCAGACAACTGTCTGCCCTTATAAAGTTCATGGAACATTTTATATAGGAATTTGAATATTTTAAACGATGAGAACTTTATATGTTCATTTGTATTATGTAATTCATATTTAAAAACGTTAAATGGAAATTAAATTTATCTTTAAAAATTGTTTACTATTTTTTCTATTTTTTGCAGTTGTTAATTTAAAATGAATTTTTAAAGTAAAAATACATTTCATTTTTAAGCTAATTTTATTTAGTTTAAGTTTGTAATTAGGCTTGCCATTTAGTTAATTTTATGTAATTATCACATTTTAATTTCCTTTCAGATTTTAGTTATTTTTGTAGTGCATACTGCTAAATTTAAGGTTCTACTTTTACTTTATATTTGTTAAATTAATTTTAAAAAGACATATTTGCAGTGAATGTCATGTTTAGGAATTTAATTAGCTTTTAAACTATTTAAATTGCAAATTTTTAACAATTGAATTTAAATTAAGTTAAATTATATTTTTAACTATACATTTAATTTCTAAGTTTACAAATTCTACATCTACATCTTTAAATATTCACAATTTAATGAAATATTCAATTATATACAATGTCAAAAGAGTGCCCACCTATTTATCATCAAGCATTTTCCAAAAACTATTTATTAGAGAGAGAGAAAGAGAGAAAAAGAATCTAAATAATGAATGTCCAGTTGTGTCAGAGAACATATACTGTCAGAAATAAAGCTGTCACTGAGGTGTTACCTTTTAAAAAAATTCACCTTTAGTCCTATTTGTTTTTAACTAATAAGTACATCTCAAGCTACTAATTTTGACCCTTTAGGTATAAAGTGTATCTGTTGATTAAGGTGACAGCTTTACCATCGCGCTTGAAAGTGTATAAACTCAAAAAATCCCACCACACACCTGTCTTGTTCTCCAAATCTGCACTCACCCCAGTATGTGGAGCAGCGGCTGTGGCTCTATAATGCAGATTCCCCTGTTCATGCTCCTGCTGGTTGAGTGAACTGACCAGTGCCTGCAGCCTCTCGATGTACTGTATAGCACTGCGCAGGATCTCCACCTTCGGCAGCCTCTGGTTGGGGTTCATCAATGTGCTCCTCTTCAGAGCCTCAAAGGCCTCGTTCACCTTCTTCAACCTCCTCTTCTCTCTCAAGGTAGCGGCCTTTCTTCGATCCATAGTCACTGACTTGCGCTTGCACACCTTGCAGGCCCAGGGGAGACACTGGCCGGGGCAGTGCTGTTGCTCCTGATGAGGAGACATGGACAAACCGAGGCTGGACGATGGAGATGGTTTGTCTTCCAACCCAACTGTGGTGGTCAGCATCCGTCCATCCCCACACAAGCCCATCATGGAGCTCCTGTCCTGATATCCGGCTTGCTCGAAGCCACCATTGATTCTGGACTGGAAGAAATTATCGGCGCCTTCGTAAAAACGCTGGTCGTTGAAAAAGTAGGGGTTGGTCTCGAAAAGCTCCATGTCTTTGCTGGTTTAGAGTCCACCGGCTGTGCTGTGTCTCCTCTGAAAAGCTGTACAGGTCCTTGTGAGCGTTTGTGGGTGTTTCTGAAGAAGATCTGTGGACGACAACTGCTCCACACCAACTGCACTGGTGGCATTTAAACTCTCTGCCTGGTGTTAGATCAGTAGGTTAAATATAGCCAGGGCTTGGAGAAACCTGAGCCGTCGTTTAGCTGTTGCCACACATCTAAACTTTACATCTCTTTTCATTCTTCAATCTTCTGGGGATTTGGGACAGGGTTTGCTTGAGGAACGGCGGCAGGCCAGCGGTGAAAGTCCAGGAATATGATCTGGGGGCCGTGGAAATCAAACTACAGGCTGTTGGAGATATGAAAGATGTAGCACGGCTCCTTAATTAACTGACTAAGATAAATCCTCATCAGACAGGATTTGCTGAAGATGTGAAATGTGGCATCGTGTTTATGTTTCATTATTTCTGTAATTTGGTCAGAGAAGAAGCTCAAGACAAAGTGTAATGTTTATTCTGGCTGTTTAAAAGACAAAACAATAAAGTATTATAATTGTAAATTGCAATTAAATGGTACTACTGGAACTAGTAAATGGCAATGTATGTAATAGAAAAGTTTGTAATCTGATTCTAAAATTAATTAGTTTGTAAAATTTGAAAATGTAGAGTGACAGTTTAACAAATCTACCAAATCTATTTAGTGACCTAATAACAATAGTGTATTTTAATTTATTATACAGTATATACTACTATAACTCCGACTACAACTACTGCTGCTATAACTACTCCTACTACCACCACTACTACTACTAATAATAATGTATTTGAATTGAATATACAATGGAAGAATACAGAAATAACAACAACCACAATAATACTTTTATCTGACATTACATTTTTACATTATCAAATATAATAACAAGTAGAACTAATCCACAAATTAGTATGTAAAATAATTAAAATATTTTCTTTCTCATTTTTTTTCTGTCACACCATAATTTGCCATTCTTATTTTACTTCTTATATTAACATAAAAACTACAATAAAAATAGTAATATTTTAGTAATAGTAATACATGGTTTACATATTATTTTATATTGTACATTATAAGTAAAAAGGTTAAATAAATATTTAAATAATTTAAAAAATATATATGAGCAATATCACATGAGTGGAAGCAAGCCATTTGCCTTACTGTCCGACCAGTGAATATATACAGCCATATTGCACTGCTACGAGTATGACCCTGCGTTTATACAACAGTTTGAAGGCATAATCGTGTATAGAAAAAAGAAACTCAAACACGGAAAGTCTTTAAATCCTTTTGTATGAGAAACTACTTTCTTCCACCATTCATTCACATCTGCTGCTTACATCAGAACAGTAAAAACCATTGCTCATTCACCAATGTTATTTTAGAGCTATTTGAATGATTCTCTAGCGTAATGTCTAAGTGATGACGAAACAGGTGATTTTGCTGACATTATAAGATTATAAGGCTGAACATGACATGAAATGCTATCAATCTAGAGACATTTCCAAGTATTATTTCAAATTTATCACATGGCTGCCGGCCAATCAGATTAAAAAAACAGACAGAACTGTTGTATAATATTAAATAATCGATTTGATTATGGTCTCTAACTTTACCCAGATGGGTGGTAATACATATTATATGATAATAATAATCATAACAGTTTATATTTTAATAATGATCATAATAATATTGAATTTATAAAGTCCTAATGCAATATTACACTTATTAAGTCATGATTTGCTGTTTGTTTGTTTGGGGTTTTTTTGGTCTTTTTTTATCTTTGTGGTAACTACATTGAACTGTAATATCATCCAGCACTGGTTGAGTCAAGTAGACCTTCACTGTCCATGACCCCTAGAAAGTGAGCTAGAGAGTCTCTCTGGACACTGGAAATCCCAACCGGACTAGCCAAGACTCATAGCTCACATGCTAATTCAGAAGAGTTTCCGCTATGTGCCCTAATGAATCCACAGGCTTATTTATGGCCACTGACACACCGCAGCTATTCAGAGTCCATGTACTACACGATGAAGGGGCTTTTTCACTATGATATAAGTGACAGTAATACAAACTCTTCTGCAATGTTATTGGTGAAAGTCACCCTCAGAAACTGTGGTATCTTTGAATGCAGAAGTAAAGACCTGCTTCAATTTTTAGCTTTATTGCCTGCTAGTGCTGTAGTGGAGGGTTTACTCAGATATTACATACTTCTTTATCAGTCTGCATTGGGTATACCAATTTATAAATGCCCTAATATAAACTTAGTTATGTTCTATGGACATTCTAAGACCCCATTTACACTAATGCAGTTTAGTTTTAAAACACTGTTTCAGAAAGATATCGATCCACATCCACACTAGCATTTCATCTAGTGTATTTGAAAAGATCTTCTTCTACACTTTACCGCTGAAAATGTACGTCATGTGGCCATACACACACTCTGGGCATGCACATTCCAAATATAAACAGGAAGTACTGTATGTGTGTCACTCTGTATTTGGTTACTAGTCAACAGCACAGACAAACGAACTATAAAATGGAATTGCCTTGTTAATAAAGGTTTACCTCGCTTGGTCTCTTTAACCAATCACCTACTCCCTAAAACTTATTTAAAGAAGACCAGCCCTCTAGCTTCGATCTTCTCGTTCTTTCGAACCCACCCTAGGTAGGGGGCAACCAGTCTACCAAAATATTACAGAGACGGTACCCCCACTCTGAGTCTCTGGGCATTATCGTAGGAAGCCTGATCAACCTATCCACCTGTTCACTGTTTATCCTTTTACTTCCCTTCCCCTTCATCCCACTGTTCTCCTACCATACCCTTTATCCCTACAATGAAGTCTAGCTCAAAGTGTGGCGTGGTCCATGCTGGTGAACACAATGGCGAACAACATTACGTGTAAAGTTTTTATTTCTGTGTCCATGTTGTAGTTCACAGGCTGTCAGGCCTGGTCTATCATATTCTAATAGTGTTATGGTCATGTGATAAGGGCTTGACGAATAAAGGAAAGATACACAATGCCCCAAAAGACCCAATCAGACAGAGACTTGTAGCAGTCACACCTCCGTTTTCAGTTTCCTTCCATGCTGACACAAAACAACTGCATTCCCAAAGAAAAATCTAGGGTAGTGTGAATCAAAAAGTCATGCATTTTAGAAGCAAAACACATTAATGTAAATGGGCCCTTAGGCCTGATCAAACAGAACACTTTTTCACTGTTATTATTCTAGTTTTCTATTGGCACTGAGTGTTTTGCATCCTGCATTTTTCATTGCCTGTTATGCCTTATGTTTTTATCAGAACTACAGTAGTTAAAAAACAAAACTGTTGGACATCATAGAAGAAACATGCTAGACATCATCACTCTGACAATAAAACCTTTTCAAAGTCAGATATTTGTCATTTAGCATTAAACCACATACAGTACTTGAAATGCTGTTTCTTCAGACATAAATATGAGTGCTTTTAGGACCAGTAATGTTTACAAAATGCCCCTTAAAAAGTTAATCAAAATGTTGTGCCTATTTGATTATTTACTTATCCCCATGTTGTTCCAATACCCTGAAACCTTTGTTCATATTCTTACAGAAATTTAAATATTTTATATTAAATAAAATTCCTTATTAACCCTTCGATGCACAAGCTATAAAATAGATATAGAAAAAATAACCTTAGATGGGTCACCTTAGACCCATGTAGTGCATCAAAGGGTTAACAGCAACAGTCACAAGATGATTAAAGTCCAAAAAAGGAACCAAAAACATTCAATGTAGTCAACTGCAATCATATGAAGTCCCATGTACACCAAAGAACTTTAAAAATGCCTTTTGTGTCTTCAATGTCAGGTCCGAAAGTTGCAAGTTTTATTGTGGGCACTATGACGTGTTGCGATAGAGTCAGCATCCTAACACGCAAGTACATAATATTTATGGTTTGTAAAATACACACTGCTGTATATATGAGGAAGCAATAACAATTCTTTTTAAACATAAATGAACAATGTGCCCTTTTTACTTTAGATACACAAAGTAAACAAGAACGCTACGGTTACTAAAGTAACCCTCGTTCCCCGAGGGGGGAAACTCCAATGCTATGTGGAAAACCTTCCACTATGGGGTTTTCGCACCACTCAGTGAATAGACTCCAGGGCGAAGGCATGCCTCCTAGAGGGTGCTCCAACCTGAGTTATGGTAATAACCACCGCCAACGGTAGGTTACCTAAGTCTTCCTCACATCTATGGACCACACGTGGAGGTTCCACAGATCTGGGTGAGGGAGCCCGATGGTGCCCTGTCCCTGAAAGAGTAGGTGCTCTCTCAAAGGGACCGGCCGGGGGGAATTATACGCGCTCTGGACAGGGAGCAGCTTCTTGTCGATCTCTCTCTGTAGACATAGGTTGGAGAAACCTAAAAGACTCTCTCAGAAGCTCGTGAAAGACTCTGTAAGCGAAAAGGATGTCGAGCATTGCACTAGCCGCATCTTATATACTTGACTGATTGTCATTGACGCCAGCTGTGCATGCTGATGCCGGCAATTCATTTGGCATTTAATTTACCCAATTTTATACTCTTTCAGATGATTGGTTTCTGATGAAAACCCCATAGTGGAAGGTTTTCCACATAGCATTGGAGTTCTCTATCCGAAGGGAAACAAAAGTTACTATAATGTTTACTTTATTATTCTCTCTGATAAAATGTCACTTACTTTCATGTATTTTGGGAATTAACAAAGTTAATTAAGTGGCTCAGTGGTTAGCACTGTTGCTGCACAGCAAGAAGGTTGCTGGTTTGAGTCCTGGCTGGGTCAGTTGAATATTTAAAAAGTACAACAAGTAGACAAAGTTAAAAACATCCAGAGCTGCTGCAACAGGCTGCCACAAGTACGGCGCCATCATGCCACGTCGGCCAGTGGTTTCCCCCCCTGTCCAAAGACATGCGGTATAGGTGAATTGAATAAACTAAATTGGCTATAGTGTATGTGTGTGAATAAGTGTGTATGGATGTTTCCCAGTATTGGGTTGCAGCTGGAAAACATATGCTGGATAGGTTGATGGGCTGCTGTGGTGACCCTTGATGAAAAAAGGAAAGGAAAATCAACGAATGAATAAAGTTATTT